GATGTAATAGCCGCATAATGACACAACTATAAAGATCCTCTTGTGTACGTTTGTTATTACTGCATTCCTCTAACACAGGACGGTTCCCTTTCAGACCTGGGCCTGTCTCGCTGTGGCCATTATCATAATGGGTCCGATCTTGTACCTGGTTCACAAGTACAGCCCTTACAGCACCAAGACCTCAGGCCTGAACTCGTCGTGGCAGTGTGTGTGGTACGTGTACGGTGCACTTCTTCAACAAGGTACACACATATATATACGATTATTTTATTGTCGAGTAACCCGACGCAATTTCTCTGAAGTGCGCGCTACAGGGAATCCGTGTTGCTCGTCTCCTCCCTCTGGTGATTTCAATGCCGATCATCGCCTCTAATGGCATGTTGTTACCGTGAACAAATTTTATCTGATGGAACGGGGAGGAATGACAAAGTGGCGGAGGAGTAATTGTATCGACACTTTGACAGAGGTAGCGATAATTGTTCGACAAGGAGGAAACGTAATTATGGATAATGATCGCGGTGTTAGAATGAGTATTCGCTTAGAGGTTTTATCTATGTGGGTCAGTTGAAGAGTTCTTGGAACGAGTGAGACGGTTCTTCTTTGTTATTTTTCGCGGAGATCGGTGAATGATATTGTATTTTAAAGCGATAAAGCGTAGGTGTATTTAAGTAATTTTGGAAGTACGTCGAATTTTCTGTGATACTAAAATACTATTAATTTCGAATATGCTTCTTTCACACTCTCTTTCATTCTACACAGACATTCTTGGAAGACATTCAGTCATGTCTACTCGATACTCTGTTTTTTCTAAAATACTTTTGCTCTGAAGCAGTTATGATAATTTTACCTGGAAAATTGAAAATAGCAATGGTAGATGTATTTAAGTAATATTCTCTCTAATTCTCTCTAATACTGAAATACTCTCAACTCTGAACTTTAATTACAACCACCTTGCACATGACTCTTTCACACTCTCCATCTTTCTATTCCTCTCACTCTATGCAGACATTCTTAGAAGATATTCAGTCACTTCCACGCTATACTCTGTTTTTCCTCAAATACTCTTGCTTTAAACTCCAACATGCCCCTCACGCTCTTTCATTCTCACCCTCTATTTTTCTATTCTTTCCACTCTATGCAGACGTTCACTCACACCCACTCAATACTCTCAACTCTTTCATTCTCTATTCCTTTCATCCCAAACACCTTCTCCACCGAAATCCTTTTACATCCAAGCACCACAATCTCAACCACTCCGTCCTAAACTTCTCCCGCACCTTAATCGTTCCAATTCACTCCTCTATCACTCCAAGGTGATACATTCGCCCAAAAATCCTATCGCTCTCCCAACAAAGGGATAAGAACGCTAAGAATTTCATTCCGAGTATTTCGAAGAAGACAATCGAACAGCAACGATTCGACTGGTCTCCTCCTAATTAAAATTCAACACGACCAAAAAAAAGAAGAGAAAAAGAAAAATACCGTAGCAGGGATCATCGGACACGATCGTGCGCGAAACAAAAAAATACATAAATTCCAGGAGGGATGTATCTGCCGCATTCAGACAGCGCTCGCATACTGATCGGTGTCTGGTGGCTGGTCGTGATGGTTCTCGTCGCTACGTATTCCGGAAGTCTGGTCGCATTTCTCACTTTTCCACGAATGGACGCGTCTATTCTAACGGTGGAGGATCTGATCGCTAGGAAGGATAAGATCACGTGGGGTTTTCCCAATGGTAGCTTCCTCGAGGTGTACCTTCGTAACGCCGACGAGCCTAAGTACCACCTTTTGCTCTCTCACGCGGAGAGACATAACGACACGGAGGCAGAGCAGCTGATGGAACGAATTAAAGAAGGGAAACACGCTCTGATCGATTGGAGAAGCACACTCAGGTATGTGGTTGCTTTTATTCCAATTTTCTCGGAGTTGATGTGAATTTTTGGCGATGTAGGTTCTTGATGAGGAAGGACTTGCTGTTGACCGGGGGATGCCATTTTTCTTTGAGCAGCGACGAGTTTTTGGACGAGCCTATCGCTATGATTATGTCGCAGGAGAGTCCTTATTCGCCTGTCATCAATGCAGAGTAAGTGTTTAGTTAATTTCTCATCTTTTAAATTTCAAATAATTCTCCATTTTGGTTTCAAATATTTTTTATTGCATTTTTTAAGATTGCATCGAGGTGTTCCTTTATTTATTTCTTGCAGTCGATGTTTCCTTGATTTTCCATCTTTTATATTTCAAATAATTCTTCATTTTGGTTTCAAATATTTTCTAAGTTTGTGTCGAGGTGTTCGTTCATTTATTTCTTCTCGTTAAAGTTTCCTTCATTTTCCATCTTTTATATTTCAAATAATTCTTCATTTTGGTTTCAAATATTTTCTAAGTTTGTGTCGAGGTGTTCGTTCATTTATTTCTTCTCGTTAAAGTTTCCTTCATTTTCCATCTTTTATATTTCAAATAATTCTTCATTTTGGTTTCAAATATTTTCTAAGTTTGTGTCGAGGTGTTCGTTCATTTATTTCTTCTCGTTAAAGTTTCCTTCATTTTCCATCTTTTATATTTCAAATAATTCTCCATTTTGGTTTAAAATATTTTCTTAGTTTGTGTCGAGGTGTTCGTTCATTTATTTCTTCTCGTTAAAGTTTCCTTCATTTTCCATCTTTTATATTTCAAATAATTCTTCATTTCGGTTTCAAATATTTTTTATTGTATTTTTTAAAATTGCAGCAAGGTTATTCATTCACTTATTTCTTCTCGTTAACGTCTATTTCATTTTTCATCTTTTAAATTTCAAATAATTCCTCATTTTGGTTTGAAATATTTTTTATTGTATTTTTTAAGATTGCATTAACCCCTTAACCTATGATTTCTTTTCTGACTGTGCGTCTAAGCGTCAGCCATTTAATGTTTCAGTACTGTATCATGTAATAAAAGCTAATCTGTTACAGATTAATTACATTTACGAATTCTTGATCTTACAAATTAAAACGAAAGTTAGGATTACAATAAATTTTTCTCGCTAATACAGCTATTTTTCTCACATCTTGACCAAAATCTCTGTCACGAGTCTGACACGTTGTTGTAGGTTAAAGGGTTAACTATTAACTATGCAATTTATTGCATTGTCTATTTCATTTTCCATCTATGAAATTTAAAGTGGGAGGCTTGAGATTAACAGAAGCCCCACTTCATTTCGATTTTAAATATTTTTTACTGTATTTTTTAAAATTGCATCGAAATATCGTTCATCTACTTCTTCTCGTCGATGCTTACTTAATTCCTCACCTTTGAAGACCCAAACGAGAGGTTTAAAATTGCACCAAGATCTTCCTTATTTCTCCCCTTAGTATCTATTTCACCTTTAAGCCTCGAACGAGACATTCGAAATTAACAAAGCTATACTTAATTTCGATTTCAAATATGTTTTCCAAAATTTCTCAAGATTGCATCGAATGCACGAGTCAGGACTGATGAACAAGTGGATCTCCGGGAGGATGCCAATGAAAGATAAATGCTGGGAGATACCGGGTAACACTCAAGCGGTGAACAAGAGGAAAGTGAACGTGGCCGATATGCAAGGAATATTCTTCGTCCTCTTCATGGGTAGAGCATTTCCTCCTCAAAATCTTCACGAATCTCCCGAACGAAATCCAAATGAAAGATTTCTTCGTGTATTCTATCTTTACTTTCAGGCATTACACTCGCTTGCTTCTTCCTGTTCTGCGAATTCTACTGGCACAGGCGCAAGGTATCCAAGGAACGCAAATTAATTCGTCCCTTCGTCTCGTAAATTTAATCTCGAGACACGTATCAGAGTCATGCAAATTTCGTCCAACATGGCCGATCCGCGATTTCTCCTCGAACAAACTCCTCTTACATCCCACGCAAACACCTTCAATCACACATTCATCTCCTCCAACTCTCTCCTCCTCCCTTTCTAATTACCAATTTCACCTTTTTTCTTCTTCGCCGGGTTGGCGAAAAAATCATGCTTGGTACCGAGTCGACGTGACCGGAAGGCCTCAATGTCCTTGCTCAATCCGGACTTGTAATCTCGTTGAACTCTTTCGAATTTTTTTTTCGTTCCTTTTCTCCTGGTTACGACAATTTGGACGAGTTGAGAACGGTGAACGGGATGAGAAGAAGAAAAAGAAGAAGCGTGGAACAGCAATCGTTCGTTTCTAAAGGATAATTGGCATAGGCCAACGGGCGCGAAATGATTCTCGCCAGCTGAAACAGCGATCGATGGCCCGCGAACGTTTGCGCCGCATTACAATTACCATCACGAACGTCTAATTTGCGGGTAATGGACGGCACCGGATATTGCGTGGATATCCACGCAACATTCGACGTCGAAAACGTTCGATCCTCTCCACGAGTGACGTTTCCAAGTATGGCTGTTTCTTTCTTTTTTTTTTTATTATCATTAGTGGCACGAGATCGCGTGGATAGGATGGATACTATGTATGGAGGATAGGTTTAAGGATAATTTACTATATTTACTTGGTATTCTGTATATTGTGAGCAATAAAATATCGTCTGGAATAGTGGGAGATGTTGGTTGGTTTATTTGACACTTTCGACTCGAGTGAGAAGCGATATTGTTGTTTTTCATTTGGTGAATAATTAATGGTGGCTCTCTTGAGGCTGATGTTGTACAGAATAACAGGTTTAGGGATCTCTCATGAATGTCTAAGCAGTGAAATTGTTTGGAAGAACCAACTTCTAATGAAATGTATCACAATTGAAAAATAATTGTAAAATATTAAATATAATTGTAAAATATTAAATAAAAAAAATTGTAAAATATTCAATATTATTGTAAAATATTAAAATAGCCAACTGGGTGGATGGCAGGATAACAGAAAGAATCCTAGGAGAAGAAGGTGAAGGAGAGAATTGGTTGATTTGTTTAGAAGAAAGGGGGATAGGGAAAAGGAGTAAAGGAAAAGTACAAAAGAAGCCAAAGATCAACAAGATTGTTTGTTAGATTATAGTATATTTTTAGATATTTACCTTTATAACTAAGTTAAGTTTAAGCAAAATGAAAATGAAAACTGAACCCATTGTAATCTCGAAAGGAAAACAATAAGCACAATACTACTATAAAATATTAAAATATATCTGTCAATATATGTACGATTTATTTCTGTCAGTTTTAAAAAATTTCGTCAATTTTTCACCAAATACCGAAGGCAATAAATGTTAATCTTTTAGTACAAGTAAGCTGCCTTCTGTGGCAAAAAGATCTTCGAGTGCAAAGGGTTGAAAATAGGGAAGTGTTGGAATTTTTATGAATGAAAATTCGTGTTCGGAGGATGTTCATTTTATATGGAGGAGCTCGAGACTAACAAGGTTCGCCGTATTGCGAAAACTAGCGAAAATTGAGCAAGACTTATGACGCGTATGATTCAGGTGCGCTCTGTTACGTTACGCTGGAAGTTGCCACAACTTTTAGTTGCTTTATTAAGATCACGCCCGAAGAAGAATGGAGGTTGCAAGTGTGCGAAAGTTGGGATGAAGAAAGGTCGGATTCTACGTTGCATCTTCGAGTAACGAGCTTGTTATTTTCTTCGATGGAAATTCGTGGAAACTTGGGAAATGTCTGGTGAACCTTGAATTAAAAATTAACTCTTGTCCTTGGAGATCTTGTCAATTTGAAAAATTGTATATATTACACGTTAGGTTTATGTAAATTTCTCGTTTTCGAATTCGAATAATCCTAGAGATTAACGTAAACGTATAGTTGATCCTTTGAAATTCTCTCGATCCCAAAATCCGTTGTTAACACCAACTCTCCAGTGAGTTTCATGTTTAAACCCTTCAAATCTCAAAAACCTTAACAAGCTTCATATCGTAATTCTCTGTGTAATTGCTGGCCATTCGAAACGTTTCACGAACCCAATATCCCAGGCACGAGTATAAAGCTTTTCCTAATTGTCCTCATAATTCCTCCTCTTCCTTCTTTGTGTAATACTTTTTCAATAAATTAATGTGTGAATCCTCTAAAATTCCCAAGCACGTGAGATGACCTTCTATCCAATCGTTAAATTTCTTTTTAATTATCCTTATAATTCCTCCTCCTCTTCGTTTGCATAATTCTTCTTCGACAACCTAATTTCCCAATCTTCAAAAATCCCAAAAATTCCAGGCACGAACGATCTTCCATTCAATCGTCGAACTAATTATCCTAATTATCTTCATAATGCCTCCTCTTCCATCTCTGCATATTCTTCTTCAATAAACCAATCTCACAATTCTCCAAAATCTTAAAAATCTCAAAAAATCCCAGACACTAGTAACGATCTTCCACTCAATCATCAAACCTCTTCCTGATTACTCTCATAATTCCTCCTCCTCCTCGTCCGCACAATTCTTCTCCAATAAACCAATCTCTCAATCCCCCAAAATCCCAAAAATCCCAGGTACGACTAACAACCTTCCACTCAATCATCAAATCTCTCCCTAATTACTTTCACAGTTCCTCCTCAATCTCTGCACAATTCTTCTTCAACAAACCAATCCTCGAAAATCCCAAAAATCCCACACCCAAAACAACGACCTTCCATTCAATCATCAAATCTCTCCCTAATTACTCTCACAATTTCTCCTCCTCCATCTCCGCACAATTCTTCTCCAACAAACCAATCCCCAAATCCTCGAAAATCCCAAGCAAGAGTAACGAGCTTCCCATCCAACGAGTCTCTCTCTCTCCTCGTAATTCCCCTCATAATTCCTCCCATTCTGCATCCATCCTCCTAGGGAAGCTGGAACCCTACCGCTTCCATTCCACCAGCAACAGAAGAGAAGAGAAGAAGAAGGGAAGGGCGAGCGCGCGATATGACGGCGTACATAGACACGGGTTTATCTACCTGACGACCTTGCCGTTTAAAAAATCACAGGTAGAGGAGTGTGTAAGAGGCTCGGAGGCAGGCGGCATGCACCATCCGCGCGAGCCAGTTCCGACGTAGAGAGCGAACGACTAAGACTAATCCTAATAGGATAGGCTCTGCTTATGCCCGGCTCGTTTCCGCGCCAGCGTGTTCGAATCAAGAGAGAGAATCCGCGAGTCGTTGTCCATGCTCGTCGCCAGTCGTCTCGTGCTCCTCGTCCGCCAGTGATCCCAGCAACCAGTCGTGGCGATTAACATGGGCGCGTGGATGTCCTGGCTGATCCTGTTACAGCGTACGTATCCATCTTCTTTTTCCTTCGATCTCTCTCTCTCTCTCTCTCTTTCTCAACTTCCATCTTTTCCTGCATTTGCATTCACCGTGGAACAGTGTAGATTAACTAGCTAATAGTTCGTTAGGTTACGCTAATTGTTTTACAGAATTTTTTTAAATTTATCCATTTATTGTTGTGACGATCTTCGCAAGACCCATCCTTCTCGATTGCGAGTGATTTTGTATATTCGTGTGTTGTCACTAGATTCCTGGTATTAGCATTAAATTTTGGGACTGGAAAATTTCTGCGATTTCTGGAATTTCTCTAAATTATGAAATTCCGTATTTTCCTTCGGTCTCTCGAGGTCTACAACCCTTCGACTTCGCTATCCTTCCACCATCTTTTTCACATCTCGTGGGAAACCAGTCTTCCTCTCCCCTTCGAAGTTTATGATTAATAAACTTTTCTTAAAATTCCGCGCGGTCCCTTCTGATTGGAAATATTCCAGCAGTGTGGTCGTCGGTGCTTGTCCACGGCTACGACAACGTGGGATTCGACGGCTGGTATCAACCGGTTCCGCATCGGCCGGTCGACATCATCACGGACGTTATTAACGACCTAGGCGTGCGGATTCTCCAGCAGTACACGGCGCACGGGAACGTTGCATTCTCGCCAACGGGGGTTGGCTTCGTCCTGGCAGCGCTCTACGAGGGCTCTGCCGGCAGAGGAAGACAGCAGATCGCCGATGCCCTGGGTCTGCCTCGCGACAGGGACGTCACGAGGATCGGTTTCAGAGACGTTCATCGTAGATTGAGAGTAAGATTTCCCTAAATCGCTCGAATTTTATCCGTCAGGTGTTACGTAATATCGAGGGCGCGCGATTAACAAGAAAACATTTGTCACGATGGATGAATTTGAAGCCTGAACGCGCTCAATTTCTCTTCGTTAAAACTGCCTGGTTTCTCTCGTGCTCGATCGCTCTTTTCGAACGAGTTTCGTAACTCCAAGGATCGACGATCCGTGACAACGGAGGTGTTCCAGGGTAATTATTTTTCTCTGTTTACAGACGTATCTGAACGCAGATGGGTTCCTCGGAGGATTGACGCTGAACCAAGAGAACACGAAACTGAGGGCAGAGTACGAGGATATTCTGAGGTTCTACGGGTTCAATTTGTCTATTCCCGAAGAGGAAACGGACGAGAGTACTAGTACTCCTTTGCAAGAAACGACCGAGGAAGCTACGACGGAAGTTAGGACACCAATTTCTGAAGAAACTACTACAATGCCTACCACCACTACCGTGCAAAGTTCCGAAACTAACGAGGAAACAATGCCGACTACTATGATGGTTGAGATGATTGGAATGACCTTGAACACCATAGATGCGCAGGACAAGTTGACACAGACTACTCCTGGTAACGGAATTCTGGTGGACGATGCTTCTACTACTAGTGCAAGTATTACGTCAACAATTCCTACTGCAACAACCACTCAACCCACGACAACTCCAGAAATTTCGAGTTCAATCACTTCGTCAACTTTGTCGACTACTACTACACCTAGTATTACTATTACTTCTACTACACAAGCTGCTACACTTGCTCCAGCTCCAACGATGATGGACGCAGTACCAGAATCAACAACACCTAGCAGTCAGACAACAGAATCTATCGAACCACCTATCCCAGAGTCAACGACCACGTCAACGATGACAGCCACAATTATCACGACATCGTCAACTATTTCACCGATCAACGTCACGGAAGCAGCTACTACCACGAGTTCAATGATCCCAACCCAAGCGGACGAGGCGTCTACTACTGTTGTGTCCACGAATGGACCAGCAGCTGCCAATGAGAATACCGTTTCAACGGATTCTCCGAACAATCAGTCTATCCCAACTGAGATAGGATCTACCGATTTGCCAGTCACGACCACTGCCACAGGTGAAATTGGCTCCACTGGACAGCTGACCACTGTAGGCGTGATGAATAGAAAGAAACGTAGCGTCAGGACCCCGAGGGGATTCTTCTCCAGTTACCCAGGTAACGGAGGATTCTTTTTATTTTTTTTTTTTTATCCTTGATGACCACTGACCAATGTTCAGATGCGAGGAGAATGATTAAGACGAATGGTGAAGGGTTCTGGTTAAGAGGTGATGACGAAATTCGTCGAGAAATGGAGGATAATTGTTACATTAGGATTTGGAAAAATGAGAGAAAGGGAGAGGGGATTCGAACTCGGGTCAATCTGGTAGCAGCCTGACACGCTAGCCACTGTACCATCGAGCTCTCTCTTTATTAAGTACTATTTTACCCTTATAAATTTTTGTGAATATACTAAGGTATTAGATCATTGTTTAAACATACGTATATTTGCAATAATTGTAGTGCAGATTTTGGGGCATTTATTTTTTTAACGTCTTGTGTAACATTCTTGAAAATTATGAGTAAAATTAATTCTCTGTACTTTCTTGTGACGCTAAATTTTACTTTCAAGTCGAATATTTTTAAATGATTGAAATTTTATGCATTTCCTTGGAAAATAATGTCTAACAAATTTTATTTCACGGAGTTTTCTGTCTTGTTCCAGACGAAGGAATCTGGATGCAAGATCTAGGCATCTGGAAGCCTTATTCTCCCAGTTTGAACGAAGCCTCCGTCAGGGACTCAACCGAGATATCGTTCCTGGTGAACGGCTGCGACGTCTCTTCAGTAACTGCCTCCAGATACTTCGCTGTTTTACCATTTGCCTACTTCCCATCGCTCCACGCTGTCGCCCTTGAATTTCCTCTCGACGTAAGTGCAGAACGCTCCATGAAAAACTGTTTGTTCGTCTTTTTAGAACCGTAACAGGAAACAATTTTCCTCAGCCTTCGTTCTGCCACGATGTAACGCTCTCGGTGACACATCACGCGTTTTTAATTCGTCATTTCAGGATCCAAGGTATAATATCCTGCTCATGATGGCCACAGACAGGAGGGATACCTATAGGCTGGCCAGAGACCTAGGGGGGAAGTCGCTCAGGCTATTGCGGAAGCAGTTACAGGCGACTTGGGTCAGGGCCACCATTCCGTCTTTCATGTTACGTGGTTTCGTCACCTTGACGTCCTTTCTCCAGAGGGTACCAAAGTCCTTTTCATTATATTTTCTGTTTTTTAAAATTTATCACCGGATGGTTCGATTTTCCCCAAGTGTTTATTATCGTTAATACTTGAATTTTGCATTTTTATTTTCGTAGAATATTATAAAATAGTATGGTGACCCACGCATGGTGGGTCACTCCGTCTATTTAATCTTTTCTGTCATTCATGGCGGAATGACCCATCGGTGGGTCACGTTGGCAAATAAGAGCGTCACTCGATGACACATCGGTGGGTTACTTTGGTAAATAAGGGTACCAATAGATGACCCATGGTGGGTCATCCCTTCTATTTAATCAATTTTGACATTTATACTTGGGTGACCCATACGTGGGTCACGTGGGCGAATAAGAGCATCGATCGATGACCCATCGGTGGGTTACTTTGGCAAATAAGGGTACCAATCGATGACCCATGGTGGGTCATCCCTTCTATTTAATATTTTTTGACATTTATGCTTGGGTGACCCATACGTGGGTCACGTGGGCGAATAAGAGCATCGATCGATTATCCATAGGTGGGTCACTTTGGTAAATAAGGGTACCAACTGATGACCCACGGTGGGTCACGCCGTCTATTCAATTCTTTTTGTGATCCGTATTGGAATGACCCACCGATGGGTCGCGTGGGCAAGTAGGAGCATCACTCGATGACCCACCGGTGGGTCACGCGGTCTAATCAATCTTCTCAGTCATCCACGTTTCTCAAATTCATTCCACTTCTCTGGATCTCTCGTCACGACCACGGTTTGAAAAGGAAATAACTCCTTCGCTCCCATTGTCTCTGCGAATGAATTTCAGTGGGCCAAAGAGAACGGTCTGGAAATACCAAGCGATAGTTCGCCATTAGTCTCGGGTATTAAGCTCCTAATTACTTAATCGCGTTAGTCGAGATGTTGAATGCGCTTTCCGCTCCTCGTCACGGCTGCCTTCCGCGGACACACGGCGCACGTGGCCTCCTCCGCGACGCGTAATTGACGACAATTCGAAACACCGGTGAAAAATTGGAATTGTTTAATGGACGTAATTCAGGGGCAGGTAGCCCAGTTTTATCGCCGATTTCGCGGCTAGAAACGCTTCCCTTTTGCTGTTTTCAGCGTCTGCTGAACAGACGATGCTCGACTTCAAACGTTCCGTTTTATGGACCAATTCAGCGTTGCTGGATAGAGTTGCTTCGGCATTATCCTTGATTATCTCGGGCATTTTAAGCGATTGTATTATTCATTTGTCAGTTAGAAACGATCATTTACGTCCCGTACATCTTCTTCTATATTTTTTTCTGTTTTATTGCCAAATTTTATTTAGATATTACGAACAGAGTCTAGAATTACTTCGACTTTTATGCACATTATTTGAATCGTTTTGTTTCCAGTTGGGAATTGTGGACGTGTTCGAGCCAAGAGCAGCAGATCTCTCGCCAATGACACCTGATCTAGGTGTGTACGCCAGAGACGTGCAACAGAGCATAGGAGTGAACATCAGGAATTACATGAAACCAGACAGGACCCACTCTCGTGAGTCGACCAATACCGATCCTCCCTTCATCGTTCCACCTCGTCGGGACTATTACCGATACTATCATCCAGGTTTCTATTCTCTGCTTTCTACGATCTACTGCACTTTCTCCTTCGCCTATCCTCTGACGTCGAACTTCGAAAATTGCAGTTTCGATCGAAACGAATTTTTTTATTTGTCGTCTCGAATATTGTGCGCTCAAAGGGTAAATGTTCCCCCAGTGACAAGATTTTACCAAAAATCCCATTCTTTTCGAAAGATAAAAAGAAATTATTGTCCTGAATATCCGTACTCAAAGGGTCAATATTTTTCCAACCACCAAAAATTCTATTTCCCTCCAAAGATACGAAAAGAAACGAAGAATACCCCTTCTCATTTTTTACTCAAAGGGTTATCATTCTTCCAGTGACAAGATTTACCAAAAATTCCATTTTCTTCCAAAGGTATGAAAAGAAATCAAGAATATCTCTTCTCATTCTGTACTCAAAGGTGTTCCTCCAGTCGCAAGGTTTTCCAAAAATTTCACTCTCTTCCACAGATAAAAAAAATGATTGCCTTGAATATCCGTACTCAAAGGGTCAATATTTTTCCAATCACCAAAAATTCTATTTCCTTCCAAAGATACGAAAAGAAATGAAGAATACCTCTTCTCATTCTCTACTCAAAGGGTTAAAATTCTTCCAGTGAAAAGATTTACCAAAAATTCGACTTTCTCCCAAACTTCCAGACACAAACAACAAGCAAGAATAGCTCTTCTCGCGAGACAGAAAGAAAGAGAAAGAAATTATGAAAGAAGGAAGCCAAAGACTGGCCATAGGCAGCAGAATCGATCAGGCAATCGCTCTGTCGCAATCTCCGCCAGTGAAATTGCAATTCTCCTTACACGTCGTACAAGCGGACGACAAAGTAACTCCCTACGTCTGACGATGGCTGCCTGTTACTACTGGCGCGTGTCTGATCCTTTCCCCCTACCTTCTTCCAGCTCTTCCTCGTCACATTCTACGTTCACGTTCCCCGTCATCCTTCGACCACGGTTAACTACTGTAAAATTAGGCGTTGCATGCTGAAAACGTTCCGAAAAGCTGTTCTTCTCTCTCCTATTAACGCTGGAACACCGCGAATCTTCACGTCGATGCTTTCTTTAGGGACACGTGGTAGATTAGAAATCTTCTCGAAGGACACAGTGTGCCAATATCTTTTCTTATTGGCACATCGAAAGAATCTTCACTTATTGATAACTTTTTATTTTTCTTTTTCGTTCACCGAAAGTTTGGACTTTGATTCGCGCCAATATCGAATCTGCTGTTAATTTTCGACAGATATGAAATTGACGTTGCGGAGATTAATAGCGTCTTACCCAATTTCGACTGACTTGAGCGATAAAAAATTTTTAAAATTCTCAAAAATTGCTAACTTTTCTTTTCTTATTGGCACATCGAAAGAATCTTCACTTATTGACAACTTTTTATTTTTCTTTTTCGTTCACCGAAAGTTTGGACTTTGATTCGCGCCAATATCGAATCTGCTGCTAATTTTCGACAGATATGAAATTGACGTTGCGGAGATTAATAGCGCTTTACCCAATTTCGACTGACTTGAGCGATAAAAAAGTTTTAGAAAATTTAAACATTCTGAAAAATTGCTACTTTTTTCCGTAACTTGCAATGCACAGTGAAACATTTGGTAGTGTATGTATGTAAACTACGTACCTGTAACAGTCACAATAGTATTTTTTTCCATATATTTTCAGCGACGTTACGTAAAAGCTTGAGCAAGAATTTTTTCCATCGCCAATCGAAGAATGTCGAATCGTCGTTAATTCGTTGTTTGCTCGTCGAAGAGCTGTCGTTTCCGGCTTATTGTAATTGACGCCGGCCAAACGGATCGGGAATATTCTCAGTATTGTTATAAACCTGGCTGGATTTAATCGCTGATATCCTGCCCGCTGACTCACCGCCTTGGCAAATAAATAAAAAGACCTTGCGGTTGTTCGCCGTTATGTCTTATTATGCCAGGAATTCCTCAATCGTTACGACGAATCTGCTGCTCGTAAATATTTTCATTTAAGACGTCATCACTCTCTGTCAGCTGTTCCCCGACACACAATTTTCATTCCTTCTTAATACCTATAAAACTCCTCATTGTCTTCTCCCGTTTTCCTGCGATTCTTCTTGCACTCGAAGTAGCTCGTAAGACGTTACTTCTGCTTCCAGAAGTTACAGACTATCTTCATTTTTACGTCTCTTGAAAATTCGTATGTTCGAAAATTATTTTAAAATTATTCTAAGATGATTTTTATATTTTAAAAATTACTCGAAAATTATTTGTATTTCTTTAAAATTCTTTTAAAATTATTTGTGTTTTTTACAAATTATTCGAAAATTATTTGTACTCCTTTTTCCCGCAGGTAATGGATTGTTCGAGAGAGCAGGACCAGTGCCATTCACGGTCGTTCATCCCTTCCTCTATTTCATCGTGGACGCGGAAACTTCGGTAGTCCTGATCGCTGGTCGCGTCAACGATCCATTAAATTCGCGAATACTATAGACCCTACTGTTTTCCTTCGAAAATAACGAAACCTACTTGGGTACGAGAACGAACGAGTCTCCCAGGTAGTAATAAACATATGTTTAAGTACACGATGTATGTCTGTACAGAAAAAAAAAAGAAAAAGAAAATTCGTAATTATTGTAAATAAAGGAAGGAGAGAGAGAGAGATGAAGGGAGGGAAAAGGAGTTTAATTTAGCTAGTTCGATTAATGAAAAAAAAAAAGAAAAAGAAATAATTACTAAAAAGACAATGGGCAAGAACTTAGCATTTTACAGGATCTCGCTATACAAAATGGTAGATAAATGTGTAAATGAGATCGGCTTGCTGCTGAAACTGCCTAATTATTCGTTATATTTAACAATCATTCGGTAATCTTCAGAGGCGTTTTCAACGTCAAGCCAAAACAGTTCTATATCCACTTCTCCCATATTCTTTTCTTCTTTTCTTTTCTCTTACATATTCATGTACAGGCTGGCAAAAGCTGAGCGCCGTCATTAGCTCTCTTCGTTCGTCCATTCACGACGATGGAAATATATTATTATCTTACTTAAAATATATTTATATATGTATATATAAATACAGTCCAGCCTAGCGCGAGTGTGTTCACTCTTTTCTCCTCTCGTCGTTCGATCCAACGATCCTCCTTCTTCTTCTTTTCACAGTCTCGCGCGGTCTGTGTGTTTGATTGGCTTCGCTTTTTTTTTCCGTTAGCGGCAGTCTTCGAGACGGAAGTTTCTCAAACTTCTCTTATCCGGTGTTTTTCGTTGCGTGTAATATCCTTCTATATTCTCTAACAAACACCCCTCTTCGTTCTTCTATTCTTTTTTTCTCTATTCCAACGGGTGAAGAAAAACGAGAAACCATTTTTATTTTTTTTTTTTTTTCGTTCCAAGTCTCGCGTTCTTTCTCTCCGTACAAGTCTTACGTATTTGGCAGTGATTTCGTGCGACCTTCTCCTTTCTCTGTGTTCCCCCGCGCGGTTCGAAAACCCCCGTAGAAATCGAAGAAACGTGTAGTAGAACAACAACGGTTCTGGAACGTTCACACTTTGGCGAGTCGATTCGTCAAGCTGTCGACAATGGTACACCGTGGCAAATGGTCAACCGGAAGACGGGTCAGGTGACGTTCTTCAGGATCCACGGGACGAACTTCGAGATCCTCGTGCACACACCCGGTAGATTCGCCTCTGCGCAACCGATACCCCAGGATATGATGCCGGCAAGGAAGTATCGACCATCTTTCCCTCGTACTTGCAAAGGTCCACCCGAGTCGCCCTGGAAATTAGCCGTGAAAAGCCTTCTTGAGGCTTGGAGAACATTGTGAAGACTTCGTTCTCTCTCTTATGCTTTAGACAGTATCGAGTATATTCAGGACCTTATTTTTCTCTTAATTCTTAACACCATTAAGCAACGTATAGGTTATTCGAAGTTTTCTAGTGGAAATGATAGATTGTAATTGTGAATATTTAAGCGAGTGTTTAGATTGGAAGATAGACGTGCGATGAAGAGTACTTGGACCAGAGAGACAGGATTCTTTCCTGCGAATGTTTAGCCTATAAAGCGATAGTTGCGTGAACGAAGAATACTTGAGTTGGAGAGATAGAGGTGTGAATGAGTTTTGAGAAAGTCCACGTAGAGTGAAAGAATTAGAGAAGAAGAGAATGGACCGTGCGAAAGGAATTTTGGCGGTCAGCTTATGACGGGAGCAAAGTGACATGCAGGATAAATGGAGAAGCAGAGGGTTGTGAGTTTCATGTTGCACCTCTCCTTAATGAATTGGTCAAGTAAAGTTACTTAGGAGACTCGTGCTTTAAACACAGGGGACAATTAAACTCATTTCGGAAGTTGTATATATACAAACGGGAGGCTTAGCGAGCACCAGCGAGAATTAGTCGTTACTCCGTCCCTCTGGTGGTGAAACGTAGAAGGTACCGTCATAAAATAAAAAAACTAAGAGTTAAAGAGTAGAGCCATTAACTCTCGAGTCTTAAATATATTCGTTACCTGTCTCCAACCTAACATTCCTACAATAAATCTACCACCATTCGACGATCTTTCTCTAAGATCCAAAATAAATCATAGAACCTAGGATAAACATTTTGAAGAGTGTACCTGACAAGAATCCTGTCCACCAGACTCGTATCCAGCGCACAGGAAGATATCCGGAATGAACTCGTGCCTCCCAGCCTTCAGGAACATTGACTTACACCTATCGTTACTCACTATGGGCACAGAGACCTGCAACAAAAACATCCGAAACACGTCTGAGATAACACTCCCGGCTGTTCATAAATCTCTGATAGTCAAGTTCCTTTGCGAATAGCTCGAATTGAAAGAACTTATGGAAGATTGCCAGTTGGCAACCACTCTGTACCATGATTCACGATCAGGATTTTACCTCTTGCAGCACAGAAGGAAGGGTGCCACCCTCGCTGAGCCTTCCCCAACCGGTGACAGTTGCATTCTCGCCTATCAACAGATCATCAGTGGCTGGCAGACAGATCGGAGAGATGTGCGGCGCGAATGTTAACGAACTCTCCAATCGAACCAACGCCAGATCGTACTCGTACGTGAAGAAGTTGTACTTTGGGTGTACCACTTTCTTCGCCACGCCACGTTCCACGTACGGTAGCCGCTCTTGAACCGACGAGAAGTCGTACTCGCCCACTCTGATCCTGATCTGCGAGGTGAGCAGGCTGGAAAATGGTATCAATCGTGGGGAATTTATTTTTAACTCGATTTTTAGTTAATTAACCCTTATGTCGATAATTGAGTACTCTTCTGCGCATTTTTTGGGTAAAAATATTTGTAGGATCGGAGCTTCTAGACTTAAATAGGGAACCGACGAGGAAAAATAAAGAGGGCGTCATTGGCCTAGTGAGTAAAGTCTCGGCTTGGAGATGAGATGTTGGCACACACTACCGTCAAGCTGAAGCAGCAACAGGGGATAGAGGAATCATTCGCTCAACCACCAATTTAATAAGTGGCTGTAGTGTAATAGTGACAATTGTATTCACATCACATACACTGTCATTATTGGCTGATAAACAGACAGACAGAAGAACGCTAACGAAACAAATGCGACAGAGTGAGATACCCTAAAAGTAGGATTTCTTAGAAGGGATTGAGTGGAGCGAGCGGACGGATTCCCCTGTGTGCTGTCTTAGTTTGAAGGTAGATAAACAATTGCGACAATTGTGGTTATCGACATAAGGGATAAAAGAAGGATACTTTACTCCAGCAGAAATTGATTTTCAATTATCAGCTGTACAAATAAATTCGATGCCCTCTTTCAAAAAGTCTCGAACACTTTATCGTCTCAAAATCGTCACATTTTTCAGAGTCGTCAGTTTCCCAATAAATGAAAAATGTCATTCAAAACAGTCAATCATCTCGAACATAAAAATTGTGTTTGAGTTTGTGAAAGAAGGCAGCGAATTAATTTCCACACCCAACAATATATCACTCACTCGTCCACGCAATGTCCAGCAGTAGCGATCCAGTTCTCATTCAGCACAGCTCCTCCGCAACGATGAGTACTGGAGAACCCAAAGAACGACGTCCTTCTCACAGACACTTGCCAAGGCCATCTTCCAAACGGTGCATCCTTTCCACCAACGATCCTAGTCTCTGGCCTCGGGAACAACGGTGGCACACCGCACTGCATCCCTTTGCTTTCAGCTGCAGCGGAAACAGTTAGCACCGATCCTGTCTTCGCCGTTGCTTCCGTCGTCGACACTGTTGTGTCAGGCTTGGGTGTAGTCGTTGTGGTAGTTGTAGTCGTGGTTGTGGTCGTGGTAGTCGTCGTAGTTGTAGTAGTAGTCGTCGTAGTAGAAGTGGTAGTCTTCTGCGTTGGTCTAGGCCTGGCAGATGTCTCGAAGTGGGACGTGGTAATGTAATGTGCTGCTCCTAGCGGCTTGTGGAACTCCGTGTTCTAAGGATAAAAAGAAAGGGGAACATACACGTCCAGGCTAGATTGGTTATCGAGAGAGTGCACACGATGCGGTTCGAATTTATTATTAATCCACGAAACGGTTCGATCGGTTTCGTTTCTCCCTACTTTGTAACACGCTGTTCAATGGACTGTGTAATCGAGTCGAGGTGCCTCGATCCGCCTGCTTCTTTGTCGCGATTAACAGTAATCCAATGGCGAAGAAAAGAAGAAAAAAAAGGTCGGATAGAGGCAGCGTTTTCTTTTTCTTCTTACCGTGGCGAAACACCTGTTTTTCCTATCGATCGGATCTAATAGCGTTCGGTGGAGAGAGAGGGAACAGAGGATCGAGGATATAACGCGATAAAGTCGATCGGGGGAAACGATTTCAAGATAACAGCCGCTCCACCCAGGCATTTCTGGCTCAGCACGGGGGAAGAACTGTGCTCGCAATTATGGCCAGCGGCGCGTGGAGAGGATCATTCTTCTGTGGAAGAATTCCTACGGTTCGCGAATGCACGAAATTGTATCGGAATGCCTATGGATATTCGGATGTTCCGTGGAACGCGGATGTTCTTGTTTCGTGGAATCGTTGGGCTGAGTACGGTAGTGCTCGGTTAAGTGTCGCGGAGTATGTGTAATTGTCGCAGAGAGTAATACTCGTGTTTCGTCTTAATTACAGACGTGGATATACGCGTATCCTCGTTCCTGGTGAATACCGGGTGTCTCACTTGTAACGAACGTCTTAATTGCTTCTGTTGGTATTGGAAGTTTGAGAAAACGAAGGTCACTTCGAGGTTATAGACTTTCTTTTACTGTCGAAGGTCGTTTTAGTATGCAAAAAAAAAAATTTCGATGACCTTGGAATGACCTTTAAGATGATCTTGGGAGACTTTATTGTGTCGTCGTCAAATTTCCGAAGCACAGGGACTCCTGGAGGTATTTTTTTCTTATTTTCAATAAAATTGGAGATAATTTAGCTGTTCGTTACAAGTGAGACACCCTGTATAATACTACTTCTCTGGTCTCTGAAAACTGACAATATAATCCTAGTCGAAATTTTGGAACGTCAGTAATTTTTTCTTATTTTCAATACCAGTGAAGATAATTTACACGTTCGTTACAAGTGAGACACCCTGTATAACACTGACAATAGAGTCAAATGAACAGTCAAACGATCTTAGTCTAAACTTTGAAACACGTTAGTAATTTTTTCTTATTCTCAACACCAGTGGAAATAATTTACCAGTTCGTTACAAGTGAGACACCCTATATATTACTGACAATAGAGTCAGACGAACAGTCAGACAATTCTAGTCTACACTTTAGAACGTTGGTAGTTTTTTCTCATTTTCAATACCAGTGGAAATAATATACCAGTTCGTTACAAATGAGACACCCAGTACATTACCGACAATAGAGAGTCAGACGAACAGCTAGACAATCCTAGTTCTAAACCGAGCGACACTTGGACGCATTCTACTCTACAGAGACAGACGTGACGTACTTCTTGCGGTTCCGTGGGCTTGAAACTCGGTCGCGGGGGAAAGGCTTCAGGGCCGTTCTGAAGGAGGCTAGGGTTGTCGGTCCAGTGAGGTTTCAAGGACGGCCTAGGCGGCGTCCAGCTGTTCTCCGACCAGAAATGCGAGCTACTAGCCGGCGACGAGGACGAAGGCGACGACGGTTTAGCGGTCTCGTGCGAGGACATCGGCTTCGTGGACGACGATGGCCTCTGCTTAGTGACGAACGCCGGCTCTGTGGTCACTTGCCAGTGAGAGGTCTGCGGTAAGGATCCGGCTGCGCTAGAAATGAAAGAAAAGCTTGAAGCTGCCGCTGCCGGCTCGAAAACCTTCGTTCCGCTCGGTTGCACCCCGCCGATAGACCCCATTAATTACGCAGAAAATTGATCTAACAGCCGTATGCGCGAGTAGAGTGAATATCGCATCCTAAGCTCTCCTAATCTCTCAGCTGCGCGTCGCTTTATCGACTGGGACACGATTGTAAATGGAACACGTAAGGACATAGTCGAATACCTGGTGGTGGACTGACCACTGAAGTGTGTCGGCCTGATGATCGTCGTGGTTTTCATCGTCGTGCTGGAGATATTCGGCCTCGAGACGAAGTTCGGCCTGGTGTTCGGATGCTCGTTCGTCGAGATTGGCCGATAAGTGGTGGTCTTGATCGAGAAATAAGGCTTCGAGAAGTCTGTCGTGGGTTTGGGAGACACCGGCTTCGTCGCCCACTGCGGACGTTCCGTGTGGATGAAATTTAAGCTTGGATGAGGGTCCTTGGCGGTTTCCTGTCGGGGAACAACAAGAAGGTTCTCTCCAATTCAACTATATTTACGCGTTACAGATTTCACGGAAAAATTGGTTCCGTTAAACACGGTAAAATGAACTGTACGTTCTCGTTGCTTACATTTTCGTCAACCGAGTTAACGTTAGGTCGATGCACCGACTCCTGCACGCTCAAATCAGCATCCTCAGTCTTCCCGTCATCAGGTCTAGACTCGGAAGGTCTTTGGTTGTTCGGCCTGTTAGGCCTGATACCTTCGTCCTGGCCAGAAGCATGTTCCTTCCCCGGTAACCTAATCACCAACGTGTTATGCCCGCTGTCTACTTTATCCTTGAACCCCTGATGATGCCCCTGAAACCCACTGTGCGTCGTGTCTTTCTCCTTCACTCCCACATGCTGGCCACTTTCAGGTCTCTTCTGAAGATTCTGCGTGTCGTGATGACCAGGCCTCTTAGTATTCTGATTACCATCCTCCCAATGTCCCCCTGCAGGTCTCTTGGTACTGTGATTTCCTGGTCTCTTAGTATTCTGCGACCCTTTCTCCAAGAGATCAGGTACTCCAGGTCTCCTAGTGCTCAGCGATCCCTTCTCCCAAAGATCAGGAGCTCCAGGTCTTCTAGTGCTCAACGATCCCTTCTCCCAAAGATCAGGAGCTCCAGGTCTCCTAGTGCTCAACGATCCTTTCTCCCAAAGATCAGGTGCTCCAGGTCTCCTAGTACTTTGAGATCCCGGTCTCTTGGTGGTCTGCGATCCTTTCTCCCAGAGATCAGGTGCTCCAGGTCTCCTTGTGCTCAGAGATCCTTTTTCCCAAAGATCAGCTGCTCCAGGTCTCCTAGTACTTTGAGATCCCTTCTCCCAGAGCTCCGAAGATCCCGGTCTCTTGGTGCTCTGCGATCCTTTCTCCCAGAGATCAGGTGCTCCAGGTCTCCTAGTACTTTGAGATCCCTTCTCCCAGAGCTCGGAGGATCCCGGTCTTTTGGTGCTCTGCGATCCCTTCTCCCAGGAATCCAAGGATCCCGGTCTCTTGGTGCTCTGAGACGCCTTCTCCCAGAAATTCGACGAGGCAGGCAGCACAGAGGTCTGGATTCTGTCCTTGTGATCGGACGTGGGTTTCGCGTGCGGTCTTTTTTGCAACGGCCTAGCGGAACCGGCCGACAGCGGTTTGTGCGGTCTGCTGGACCCTCCGGAAGAGTTGGTCGTCTCGGATGGATGGTGACTCGGCCTGGCGGTGCTCGAGTCCGTGACGAGGAAGCTGGAGAGGGAGGTCTGCGTGGGTCTGGTGGATTCGTTGCCCAGTGCTTCAGCCAGGGTTGGCCTCAACGCGTTTGAGGACAACGAAGAGGAGGAGGAAGGTTGTTGATGGTGGTGATGATGATGGTGATGATGGTGATGGTGATGGGGCGCGGTGATCGCGTTCGTAGTCGTGTTGTGCACGCAGCAGCTTCCGAACATGAACGTGTCCACGCACACGCCCACGTGAGTGCCCTCCGATTTGATGCACTCCCAGACGAACATGCACGTGCCCTCTTTAGACTCTGGTCCTGGGACTCGACAGGGCTTCGGGGTGATTTTGTAACCTGCGCGGAGTCAAACCAGCCTGTTTTTCACGGTTTCAGGAGTCTCTTCTGGGAGGAGCTTCTGTTAGAATTGTCCTTCAAGCTTAACCCTTTAAGTCCGAGTGTGAGTCTAGTGTTCCAATTTTTGGTAACACTCTAAGCTCGGGAGTGTTTCGACCCTTCGAGTGTCTTTGCGGTTATCGCAGAAGTCTGACCGAAAAAAGTTTCATTTGACGTCGAAAAAATTCCAAAAATTTTGTATTCGACATTGTCACCGAATGCGACTGCTTGGAAGTGACACGAAACAAAGGCTTCCCCTCAGGTCCTCAATTTTTTATAAAAAAATAGAGAGATTATTAGAAGTAGAGTAAAATTTACACTCGAACGGTTAAACTTGTTAGAATTTCTTCGAATGTCAAAACACTACTTTACACTCCTTTGAAACGTACAAAAGTATGAAAATCGCAGATTTCCGGTACGATACCACTCGTTGTCAGACTTACAGGGTCAAGAAGCATTAGCTCCAGAATACAGCAAGCTCAATCTAAACGAATGACCCATTCACCGAAACAAGATTCACGTCATCCCGTCACCGTCACCACAACCCGTCTCTGTCAAAGCAAAATTGCATTCCCCGCAAAGAATCAACGCTCTCCCTCCCGCCACATCTGATCCTCCGCAAGTTTATTCACTCGTCAATCGCCTCCACCTCGGGGTATCAGGGTCGAGAGTGAAGCAAAAGAACGAGGAACACAATAAGCACGTGTTCGATAGCCACTATGATTGATTCCCCCGTTCACCTAACGCTCGTATCAGATACACTCTGCCCACAAGTAGGCCATCAGAAAACGTACAATTAACCCGGCCGGTCTAATGGCTTCTATTTACATTTAGATTGAGATCGATTCTAATGTCCCGTAACGATCACGATATTGCCCACAATCGGTCCCACGAATTTAATCCTAACCTAAAACCGACCCACGGCGAGTGACCCAGATTACGCTGCAACTCCGCGTGCGTGATAAACCACCGTTTAAAGGGTATCGACGCAAGCCAAGTATAATTAACGGGAACGTCGAGGGTAGCTCGCTTTGTTCCACCAACAATCGCTATTCTCGATCGATACACCTCTCTCTCCCCCATCTGTCGTGTATCTCTGAATTTCGGACGGATCGGCCAATTAACAGCATCATCTCTCTCTCTCTCTCTGAGTAGGTAGCTACAAACGCGTCGAGAGTTGGGTAATTGGAGCGTCGTTAACGTGTCGTCCACCCAAGGAAGATAGGAATCTTTGGCTTGTTCGTTGGTGAAAGTGCACCGATCGAGAAGCGTTCGAGACCGGGGACACGCGGTTCTTCGAAAAGAGGAAGAAACGAGGGGGTCGAATGGAGTACGTAGAACCTGGGCCAGGTCGTTAACCGAGAAGAAGAAGAAGAAGAAGAAGAAGAAGCGCGTAAGCGGACGTAAATTGCCGCGGTTCCGCGATCTCCTCTTCCACGGTCTCGCTTTCTCCGTTACGAAGCCGCGTTACCACGCCGCTAATTAGAAGAAAAAAACGTTATTTTATCGGTCCTCCGTGTTCGTACGTCTTCGACGTTACCCGAGATCGGGAACAATGGGCAAGACGACGTTACCTCTAGCGACGTTGGTGTAAAAGGGGTGAGAAAAAAGGGACGTGTGTCTCTTCTCTTTCTATCTATCCGTGTTTCGTCTGGTGTTCGAACCGGCGAGACGGTTGACGAAGCACCAAAGTGTATCGCACAGTTGAACGAGTTCGTTTTCGCTTACTGTTTCGAGAGACTAATTAAACGGTGGATATTAAAGGGAGAGAGGGTTGTTCAGAGGAGAAGGTAATTACGAAGGCATTTATTGTGCTTCTGAGTGTAATGCGGAACGCCGGTGAACAGGGTGGAAATTGTGGAGAATATCGGGAACTCTCGATGGGAAGGGTATTAATGCGAAATTGTTGGCTGGAAGTTTCGAATTGTACAGGGTTGAGAGTTTCTTGCTAATTTGAATATCGATAGGCAATTAATAACGGTTCTGACGGTGAACCCTTGTGCAACGCGAACATTCGCGGGGAATTTGGAAATTTTTAAGGTACATCGGGTGAGAGAATTATTAGGGACACCTGTGAGGTAAGAAATTCAGGGTTTTACGTTGGAAGGATTAATTTTTTCATGAATTCTTGTTATTTCTTTTTCTGTGGAGCGTTGATGTTTAGGTGTTGCAAAGATATAGTTAGTAACACTTCAAGCAATTATTTTTTATGGGTACTGCAAATCGCCACTTGGGAACCGCGTGTTACAGTTTTCTTGCTTTATAGATCTTCGTCGTGTGAATTTTTTTTATAATGCACAGTAAATTATTTCGAACTTATAGAAAAGAGAACGAAGGCTGTAATTGCAGCGAAAGGTAGCGCTACCGAATACACGCTTTATCGTTATTTTTATGGACGTTACTTTGCACGAGTATTGCAAATCGCCACTTGGGAACCGCGTGTTACAGTTTCGTTCATTTTGCAGATCTTGAGCTTCCGAATTTTTCTTGCCGTGTTTCTGCTACTTACAATGCATAGTAAGTTACTTGAAACGAATCGAGAAAGGAACGAAGGCTGTAATTGCAGTATTTTTTATAACTACTCAAGCTAAGTTTAGCTTTCTCGTGTCTGTTCAGTGGACAATTGTTAATTAAAAATTGTCCGGTGCGCAAACCTAAATTTTTACACTATGGCTCTAATAATTCGATCGCTCTCTCGTCTCTTCAGTGGGCAATCGTTAATTAAAAATTACCTCGATAATAATTTGATCTCGGTAGAAGTGTATCTACGAAGGGGGGAAAAATAGAGGGAGCATTTTCACGTCCCGGTGTTCCGGCAGGTAAGTAGAGGTAAATTTTGCTTAAAAGCGAAACAGAGAGGAGGAAAAAGTGGTGCACCACGGGGTTAACGAGAGGAGAGGCTTTCCCATCCTCGAGACAGGGAGGAGAGCTTTTCTTTTCCCACGCTCGAGCACACGACCGACTGCACCTTGACCGAGTTCCCCGTCCAATTAGGCGTTACACATTTTACAGGGATCTCGGGGAAGAGAGAGAGAGAGAGAGGAAAAATTGGTGGGGAGGTTTGTGCGAAGGGTTAGAATGACGATTTTTTCTTCCTCGAAGAAATTCAGCGAGATACTAATCTACGTATAGAATATTAACCCTTTCGTTACTACCATTAGAGGTTCGCGTGGGGGCGTTTTTTGGGCGAAAAAACTGCTATAATTAATTCATATTTTTCGAAGAAATTTTATATCATCGATGGCATTTTTGAAAAGAAAAATTTCATTCTGAGACAGGGGACAATGAGTGAAAATCTCAACGACGCATTTCTGCGTCATCCGTACTCAAGTAAGAAACCCCAAAGCACACCAGTGCGTCATACGAATACGTTACAAGGTACAGTGACCTAAAAGTATTCATACACCCTGTAAAATGGAACAACTTTTTTAAAATTGGGCCAAACTACTTGAGTTTTTTTTGAGAAGTTAGAAAGACTAGTTTACTAGATGACGGGTCAAAAAATTTTGGAAAAGACTGCAATTAGTCGGAATCGTGAAGAAAATAGCGAAGGCCGTTTTTACAACTTTTTTTATCTGAACTCGTGATGAAAATTTGAAAAATACGTTTTGTAGATCTATGCCAATTATACACACGCTGAAAAGTTGATCGAAATCGGTTAACGTTGTTATGAGCTACAAACGGTTAAAGATTGTAAAAATCGCACTATTTCACTAATAAATCTGAAGATCCTTACATCTTTCGATGCCTGTCGCTTGTTTCTCCATCCACCGATTTCGATCAAATTTTCAGCGTGCGTATGATTCACATAGATTTTTTAAATTTTCATCACGAGCTCAGATAGAAAAGTTGTAAAAATGATCTTCGCTATTTTCTTCGCGGTTCCGACTAATTGCAGTTTTTTCAAAAATTCTTTTACACTTCATCTAGTAAACTAATCTTTCTAACTTCTCAAAAAAACTCAGGTCCTTTGGCCCAATTTTAAAAAAGTCATTCCATTTTATAGGGTGTATGAATACCTTTTTCGGTCACTGTATAGCTATTAGGTTGTCCGGAAATGAACTGCGGTTTTCTGCTATGTCGTATTTAGGGCTTTTCTATACTACACACTTTAAATTTATGTTTATTATGTAATGTACCATTTGAACGCGTAGACGTCGCTCTGTCATATAAGTTTTTTACCGTCGTTTGTTCTGAGTACAACTTAAAAACGTAACAATGGACAAGAAGCAAGTTCGTACCATATTTTCATACGAATTTAAATTAGGACGTAAAGCCGCGGAAACTGGCCGCAATATCGATCACGTATTCAGTGAACGCACAACTAATGAAGTTTGATAAATCGTAAGATCACGCAATTCACGATTCGAGAGATACACGAATTGGGTTACGAAACGTTAAAACACCCTCCTTATTCCCCCGACTTGTCCCCTACAGATTACCAGTTTTTTAAACATTTCGATAACTTTTTGCGAGAAAAAATCTTCCGCGATAAAGAGGATGCTGTAAGGATTACCAGTTTTTTAAACATTTCGATAACTTTTTGCGAGAAAAAATCTTCCGCGATAAAGGGGATGCTGTAAATACCTTGGTGGAATTTATTCATTCTAGAACTCCTGATTTTTATTGTAACGGAATAGGAACTCTTGGAAAACGTTGGAGAAAGTGTATAGAATCTAATGGAAATTATTTCGATGAAATAAATTCACTCTAAGCAAAAGTACAATTTAACCGCAATTTATTTCCGGACAACCTAATAACACAGTGGCTTGCATGAAATAGACGCAACACTCCTTCGTATTACTAAATTTTACAGAAATTTGACTTCTTCCCTCGTTATCCAGAATTCAACTTTTTCCACTTTCCTTCTTTCTCCTTTTTAATTAAACAGATAAACCGTGCAGCCTTAGACCAGAGCTGGTCCATAAGCCGGGAAGCTACTTTTTTCTCATTTACACCACTTTTAAATTAAACGGCCGAAGTATCAGAACGCTGTCTTTGAAATTCGTTTGAAAAACGCCACGAACTTTTGCTCGAATCCAGTACACAAGCGTATCTTACTGTTAA